AAAGGGGTCTGGACTTGGCATCGTACTGAAGCCACCCACAGGCAATGTAGTTCGACAATCCATTAGAACTGTGAAATTGACTAACAACGAGGCCGAATATGAGGCCATAATTACAGGTCCCTAACTGGCCAAAAGCTTGGGGGAGGAGGTGATCGAAGCTAGGTTCGACTCCCTCCTTGTGGTGAACCAAGTTATTAATGGAACGTTCGAAGTCAGAGAAGAACGAGTGCAAAGGTACCTAGATAAGTTGCAGGTAACATTACATCGGTTCAAAGTGTGGACTTTGCAGCACGTACCTCGAGATCAAAATAGCGAGGTCGATGCCCTTGCGAACTTAGGGTCGTCGGTGAAGACGACAAACTCAACTCGAGGGCAGTTGTATAGCTTATGAGATCGGTGTAGAAGAAGGTCACGCCAAAATAAACTCAACAAGCTTGACTTGGTATTGGAGAAACAAATATGTAGAATATTTGAAGACCGGGAAATTTCCCTCAAATCCAAAAGAATTGAGGACCCTGCACACAAAGGCAGCCCGATTCAGCTTGTCCGAAGACAAGAACCTTGGTCAGAAGAATGTTTGATGGCCCACTAGTAATATGTCTGAGACCAAGAGATACCGAGTACGTTTTGAGGGAAGTCCATGAGGGCACCTGTGGAAATCATTCAGGCGCCGAATCATTGGTTCGAAAGGTAATTAGAGCCGGATATTACTAGATCGACATGGAAAAAGACGTGAAGGAGTTCGTACGAAAATGTGATGAATGCCAAAGACATGCTCCGATGATTCACCAACCCGGGGAGTTGCTGCATTCGGTCTTGTCATCACGATCATTAAGTGGGGGATGGACATCATTGGCCCTCTTCCATGGGAACCCGGTAAGTCTCAATTTATATTATGTATGACTGACTATTTTTCTAAGTGGGTTAAAGCACAGGCGTACGCGAAGGTCAGGGAGAAGGAAGTCATCGACTTTATTTGGGACCACATCATATGTCGGTTCGGAATGCAGTCCGAAATCGTATTTGACAACGGGAAACAATTTATCGGCAGCAAAGTGACCAAGTTTCTCGAGGATCATAAGATCAAAAGGATCATGTCAACACCTTATCACCCTAGTAGGAATGGACAAGCCGAATCGACCAACAAAACCATACTTCAAAACCTCAGAAAAAGGGTAACCAATGCTAAAGAAAAATGGAAGGAAATCTTACCCGAAGTCCTATGGGCAGACCGTACGACCTCAAAGTCCAGTACTGAGGCCACCCGATTCTCACTGGTTTACGGCGCAGAAGCTCTAATACTGATCGAAGTCGGTGAACCAAGTTTTGATTCCGATATGCAATAAAGGAATCGAATGACGAGGCCATGAGTACGAGCCTGAAGCTATTAGACGAAAGGCGTGAAGCCGCCCTCGTCCGATTGGCCGCCCAAAAACAACAGATTGAGAGGTATTACAATCGAAGGGCCAACCTTCGACACTTCAACATCGAGGACTTGGTACTAAGGAAGGTCACACTGAACATCCGGAATCCGAACAAAGGGAAGTTTAGGCCAAACTGGGAAGGACCATACCAAATCCTCGAAATCGCCGGGAAAGGATCATACAAACTCGGGGCAATAAACGGTGAAGGCTACCGAATAACTAGAACAAAACTCACTTGAAACCATACTACTACTAAGGTACGACCCCATTCATTTCCTTTTTACTTATTTTTGGACTAACACTTGCAGGTAACCAACAAGAAGCGAAACAGATTTTTAGGTCTGAAAGCACGCATTGCACTCTTTTTTCCTTAAATAGGTTTTGTCCCAAATGGATTTTCCGGCAAGGTTTTTAAGGAGGCAACAGTAGATTATGCTAACTTAGAATAGAAAGCCGGTCATGAATCGGTGTTAAGGATTACAATCAACAATATCTGAGGTTTCTCTCTATGATTAACCTCAAATATTGGGGGGATATTATCCTCGGATATCGACTTTAGCAAGGAAAGTACTTCGTGATGAAAGGGTCTCAATAGGTAGGATTTATTATAAAGGCCAAACGGTAAAACGAACTGTGCCCGCATAGATTGCTCGAGCCCTGACACAAAGCATGTACACATATATTACTATTATGCACAAGAATAAAGAGAAGTCTTTTCCTTGCAGTTATCTTGTTTTTTAAAATTTCTTCTTTACATTTCTTAAGGAATTCCCTACTTCCGATCCCCTAAAGGTAACGAGCCCAACGGACGCTTTAACCTGAGATCGAACAATCACTCTCTCACTCGAGGACTGTCGTCCGAAAACAAACTCGGACGGTCCAAGCTATTAGACCTCGAGGGTATAAGACCTATCAGGCAACCCCCAAATTTTAACGGTCACGGCCACCTCCACTCAGGGACTGTTATCTTTGGCAAGCCCGGATAACTCGAGAAAGCAAGCCCACTAGGCGACACCCGAACTAAAAGGCTACGGCCATATTACCAATTCTATTGAGTTCTGATTACATATCTTTAATCTGAATCACCTATTGTTGTTAATTAGTCGTATTAGAATACTTTTTGGATCCTCCTAATTACTACTCGCCTATTCAAGATAATTCAACGATGATATTCCTATGGAATCAAGTTTATCAAGAAAGTATAGAGATTGCAGCTTGTAATTAAGCAGAGTGATTAAGTATATTCCTATCTTAACCACAAATCGCACCCTAAGGCTTATGGATAATATCAAGCTTTCTTTAATTCTTATGTAATTTAAGAGCGTCACTCCTGAGCGTACACTTAGATAGTAAATAAAACCTAATTGATGACCAAATAATTAAGTAATTATATACAGAAATAAAGTAGTAACTCGTATTAATGAAGTAATAATTATCAAACATCAAATATTCATCGTTACCCATAAACCTAGAACAAAAGAATCTAGCCACGCATAGCAGTCATCTCAAACCGATATTCAAAATTCATAAACGAACAAGCAGAAAGAAAGCAAATTGGAAATTCGTCGCTAATTTCGTTAGACTTCACTCCCCGTATGTTCCTTGCCTCCAAAATAGTACATCCCCCTCCAAAAGATATTGGATGGGGTTTATGTATGACCTAGGGTGTGTAGGAGGAAGAAGTAGCCAACTCCATGTTGGCTGGCAATATACCTGCAGTGCTTTTCCAAGTTGACGCGATACAAGGACGAGAAAACATCCCTTTTTAGCTATTATGCCTGATGGCCTGCGCCTTGCCCTCGTTCAGCAGGGACTCAACGCGAGTAAGGCAAAACTTCCTTTCCCTAACTCCATTCTTCTTGTGTTTTCAACTCCAACTAGCACCGAATAGTTCGTTTCGATCTTGTTTCCATTTAAAATCAGTCCCACACATATAAAAACACGTAATTGATGTGTTTCCGTACCTTCCATCCATAGGGAGCTACTTCATGTGACTGAGGGAGATGGTCCACCTTTTTAGTAGGTAAGTGCCAATAATGGTATGTATCACTTCCATAAGCTATTAAACCAATAAGAGTTATATCACGCCTAATGGAATAACTGGAGTTTTTAATCAAAATTATCCCTTATGTACAGGAGTAGGTCTAATTTTGTCCTTGATATTTCATCTTGAGCACATATAGTCCTTTATCTTTGCTAAAATGGAGCACATATAGTCTAGTTAACAGCAAACCCAAACAAAAGGCACAAAACTAACGGCTCCTTTCCACGTGCAATGCATGTGACAGTAGAAACAAGACCCACATAGGCTCATCTTCTCCAAATAACCAATTCAGCGTAACCATTGACTTGTATGTAGAGCCGTCAAAATGGGCTTGGCCCGTGAGGCCAGCCCAACCCAGCTCGCTACTTGAGTAGGGTTGGGCTAGGATTTTTTGAACTCATTTAAAATTGAGGCTTATAAGCCCGACCCAAGTCAGCCAACTGGGCCTTGAGGCTTGACCGAGGCTTGGCCTGGGCCGGCCCGTGGACTAAAAAATAATTAAATTCAAATTAATTAACTATTAAATATTTAAAAAAAATTAAAAACTAAAAAAATTATTAATTATAATCCCCATTCCCGAACCCTAGATTGCTCATTTATCCTTCTATATCAACTAGAATTTAGATTTTGACATGCATGTAATATGACAAAATTAGTTTTTCTTTGCTTAATTATTAACGAACTCCAAAAGTTTTAGGTGACCAATAATAATCTTTTTTTTAAAAGAAAATATTACTTTAAGTGGCCAATGATCTGTTTGGATTTTTTTAACATATTATTAATATTTAAACTACTCTTCAGTTTAGAAAAAAAATAATTTTAAATACATAAAAAAATGACGACCAGCAAATATCAGAAATTTTAAAATTTTTATGGACTATAATGATGAAATCAGCAAATGATAGTAATCCTAAATTAAAAAACCTCAGCATATAAACTTATTGAAGCAATCCCTGAATTTGAGGAAAATGAATTATTAAGAAAATATTCATATAGCTTTAAAAAAGAAGAGCTAGAGATATAGAGAATTTGCATTTCAAGTACGAGAGCCCTCATCAAATATTAAGCTTTTTGTACGCTCTAAGCAAACTGAAAATATTTACATGATTAAGCGACTACACGGAAAAATATTTAAGGATTTAAAGAAATTTTTTTCTAAAAAAAAATGAATGGTCGGCCCGCCCTAACCCGTGGCCCTCTTAGGGCCGGCCCATTCATATGGCAGGCCGGACCGTCATAGCCCACCAAATTTAGAAGCCCATGAGGCTAGAGTTGGGCCGGCCCGTTTTGACAGCTCTAAACAAGATACTGTGTATTTCAAGGTTCTAAGATTGTTGTAAGATCATTTTAACAATTTCATTTATTTCATCTGTGTTCAATTACTGTACAGAGACCAGTTCACACATGCACAGGCACGACTAAAAGATCATCGAACTGTGATTTAATTGTGGCCTCTTGACACTAAACTATCCCCTTGGAGCAGGTGCGGGAACCCAATGAGTGAGTTCAGAGAGAAAAGGAGAGACAGAAAGTGTAGAAATAACCTTTCCTTTCAATGACTAGATCACTAAACAGCTAACTTTTCCGAAAGGTAAGAGGGAAATTGTGTGCCTACACAAATGAATTTGACTGCATCCTCCAAAATTTTGCGAGCACAAATTTCCCACTAAATGAAAAAATTAAGCAGCCTACACCCTACTTACATCAATTGCTATTTTTACATTTTCCTACGTCTTTCATGTCCACCAAGTACCTCTGACCATCAATGTCCAGGCATGTAAACTGCTGCCACAGCAAACCAATTGTCTCATCATCGGCATCCAACAAACAGAGACCTTTCCTGCCTTATCGAACCCCCGAGAGCACCTTCATTATCCCAAGCCTCGGTGCCCGAGAGGTCTCTTGCCTCCAAGATTAGAGCAAATTGCCACCACTCCCAGGTGATATAATAGTTCACATTTTGGTATCTACCCGATATCCGTGAAATCTGGAAAAACTGACCAATCGTCAAGTCCCGATATGAAGTCAGGAACATATTCATGTTGGAATACATCCTCACTCCCCAAGTTAAATTCTGAATTTAGGTTAAAAAGGGTCCTGTCTTCAAAATCATGTCCACTTTCTGCGAGGAACGATAATCCCACATCAGCTCTTGCACAGGAATCATTAGATGCAGATGGCATTGGCAGGATTACTAGATCCTTGGTCCGACCAACATCACTAGATTCTGTTGGAATCTTTCTGGACTTTGATTTGGAGACCTTCACAGAATCAGAGAGCTTGTGCTTCCCCAAAAATTGTGATGTCAATGGAGTTCGTGACTTGGCATCCCCAACAGGAAAAGCAAGAGAAGCCCAATCCAAACAACTTTCAGTACTTGACGCAGCCCTGAAAAGCAGAAAATCAACATGTAAATCCTAACCCCTGCATAAATATGAATTCAGATGAGACGATTGATTAATTTGGTTCAATTTGTACCCATTAAATTTGAATGCCTACCAACTTCGATAGTGCTTCCAAAATTACATTCATGGATAACGGTCCATTTGAATTTATATTTTCAAATTCAAGTATTTAAGAGCATAACCATAGAGTATCAAGCTCGAAATAATATAGATCACTGTTACATTTGCTTTCAGCACAGCTTCCTGCCTCAGCTGGTTCTTAGAAGAAAATGTGAAGACATAATGATTCTAAATGATGGAGAATAAGGAGACACCAGAATCTTTTCCAGCTCGTACATTTCCAATTAACATGATATTTTTATTCTTAATCTTATGATCATGAAAAACTTAGATGCAATCATCAAGTTTAACACTGTGTTATAGAAGAAAATTAACACCACAAAGTCATTATAATGACTCAAAACTTGAGGATTGCTTATACCTATAGAAACTTATCTTAGATAATTTAACCTAGGAAAGTGATCAGTGTGATTTACTTGATAGATTGAAACCACTTAACTAGGTTATCATTTGACTCCGTTCACTTAAGTGAAAGTATGAAATAAGGTAGGGTTGCAAGATCACATACCAGAACCGGTTTTCAGCCACATTCAGGGAAGACTTGAAATGTTGATGCTCAGCTATCATCATTCCTGGATGCAATGGGGTTTCAGGACCACGTATTTTGACAGTTACAGGAGATGGCAAGGGAATTATCTTATTATCTTTCTCTGCCCCAAATTCCAGTGTAACATCCAACTGCTCAGCAGGAAAAGAAGCTTCTTCTCTCTGGTCACAAATGGAGACTCTCTCATCACTTTGTGCACTCTGCTGGTCAGAGAGAGCAGCTGCTACTAACTTGGCACATATACTTAAATTAGAAAATCTCTTTTCCAGTGGTCCTGTTGCGTAATTCGTGGAACCAAGGTTCATAGTTGGTGTAAACAGTGTAAACAAACTTCCAGAATGATAGAAGCCATTCTGGGAAGATGAGAACGCATTTGTCTGGCTTTTCCGGCATGACATCTTCCACACAGAGGAAAGAAGGGCAAAGAAATGCTTTTGAACAAGAGGCTCATGATCTGGAACCTCTGATGCAATATCTAACACCAGACGGACATTTTCCTGTAAAGAGGAAAAGAACAGTTAGCCAAATACAAATATGACCCTTTTCTTTCCCTGGTGGGAGGGGAAGGGGGGTTTGGTTGAGCATTACATTGCTATGGTATAACTAAATTTTTTCAACTTCAGGAAAATAGAGGAAGTTCTTTTAAAGCAGCTGATTGACCTGGCCAGCTATAGAAACCTTGATGTAGAGAATTTCAGTTGATTCTAACCCTTTCCCTCAACCAATTCACCATTCAACAATCAAATAGAAGCTTGAATTAAACTTTTTCCCCTTCCCTTTGTATCCCAAAACAACCGCATCCCCAAATACCACAATTTGCGATGTAAGTAAAGTTTTACAAGTTTTACAACTTTTACAACTAAGAGCGCATTTGCAGATGTCAAAAGACATATTTGGAACAAAGATTAACATCATTACACTAAGCATACAAGAGTTCCACATGTATCTGGTCTATAGCTTCTGTATACAGAGGAGATGCGATGTCAAATGACTTACTATCTCATATGTATTACAAATGATTAAAAAGAAAACCCAGAGAGAAAAGAAGGAACATGCACAAAAAAGCAACCATGCAAAGGAAAAAGAAAATGACTAAATGGAGAACCAACTAGCAAACTGACTTAAAAGCCCCTCTTTCCACCAAAAGTTAGCCTCTCTTTTTTTAATGGTGGTGGCGTCAGGACCAGCTTGGAAAAATTAAGTAGGAAAAGGACGTCCACGATAAAGAAGAGCATCTTATCATCTTCCAAATGGGTATAAGCAAAGACTAACTGGGGTGGAGTGGAAGAAACAGTCTTATAATGCAGTATGTTCTCCTCTATCACAAGGTAAAACAATCTGCCATGTTCTTTATAACTCTACCTGCAACACTGACCATTTGTCAATTATGCATCTCCAAACACATACATCAAATGTCCCTAAATGAGCACTAAGAAACAACTGTCTTCAACTTAAGATACATTACACAACTTTGAGCGGGACCTAAAATTACGAAACAACATAGTTTGTCAGCCGTAAAATCCATTTTGTCTCCTATTGTTTCATTCTCGCCAAGGTCCCTACGCTTAATACAAGAATAAAGGGAAGCACTGGAGAATTTTCTTCTTAATTTCCTTAAACCCTTTGTCCTACTCTTTGACTAATGATGATTCTTTGTTTATTTTTTGTTCCTTTTTTTTTTTTAATTTAATAATCTCCTCCAAACGTAAGGGAGATGAAATAGAAATCTAGCTTACCTCAGTCACTTTGAGAAGACCTTTTATCGATCCAGCATTAGTGGATCTATCATTTACACCGTCTGTCGTAGATAACACATATCTCTGTATAAGTTCCCTAAACCTTTCGCAACAAAGAATAGGGTGACGATATCTTCCTCTATAAACTCCGCCAGCAGTCATTCCATACAAGATATCACTCACCAAGCTCCAGTGAGGACCATACTCATGAACAGAAGCACAAAGTACAGCGTCCTCTTGTGGCAACCATGAATCAGCGGATGGAAAATAATCTTTATACCACGTTTTACCTTTCCTAATCGGCTTTTCTGATTTAATAGTAAGAACTCGCTTTACAGGCATCGGACTGATTGAGATTTTCCCTCCCATCTTGCTTCTGCTTATTGGTCTGAGTTCGGCATCCATGGTGCCACCATCATACTGCTTCAATCCTTTAGATTCAACCTGCCGCTTTCCATGGTAAGTTGAATGCATTACCAGCGAAGATACCTCAGAGGACTTCTTCAATTTTTTAGACTTCTTCGAGCTCTTCACATCCTCATCACCCGTTGCTAGTCTACGCTTTCTCTCTTGAGCAGAATCAGGCGTTGTAACTGGCTCACTAGATAGAACATCATCATCTATGGGCAACAACTCTATCGAAGACCCGTCCTTTAAAGCTTGAGGTTCAGAAGCTAGACCTCCTTTCTTCAAAGATTTGAACTTTGTTTTCTTTGCCTTCTTCTTTGACTTGGATTTTGGAACAGAAGCTGTAGCATGCCTGTAAAGCATATAGCAGTAGAAAATCAGCAAAAAAGGAGCCAAAGTTAGATAGCTTACTTCCAAAGGAGTAAAACAACTGAAGCAGAACAAAAGATTTTTAACTCCATTCCAACAAAACAAAGGATTAAAAGAAGAATGGAAAAACAGTTGAAGTGAATGAGAGACAGACAACACATCCAAATATTAATACCATTTACTCATATTTTAATTAAGTGACAGCAACCAACTAGAAAGCTTGCTTTGGCACCAACAGCATAATAACGTAAAGCAACCATTTTCAATTTGAAGGTAGCTGTACAACAGAGAATAAGGACCATAAGTAATCTACTTGATCAAATCTACACAATTTTAGGAATTTGATGTTGTTCCAACTTTAAGAAACTTCGACAGATCTCATGCAACTTTTCACAAGTTTGCAGTAAAATCCAATCCTCAGATGAAAAGTTCCCTAAAGAGTTTTTCCAGATAGAGGAGTGAGCCCATTATCCACCGAGTTTCAACTCGGGAATTTATCAGTTCTTAAAAAAAAAGGACTTCCCCAGGTGTTCTGCTTCATTTACGACTTGGAGTACACGTGATCACATTACTTTTTCCATCTGTATTGGGATCTTGTTCACGTCTTAGAGCGAATTGAGAAATAGGTTCAATGTTTTAGTACGTGCAATGCACACCACTTATGTGCCTATCAATAAAAAGAGTAAATAGAATATAGAATAAGAATGAACTATGGGTAATAACAATTGACGTCGAGATAGATGCAAAATTAATTTAAATGGGAGAATAAATATTACTCCCTCCGTTTCAATTTAGATGAGGTAGTTTGATTTGGCACAAAGTTTAAGAAAAAAAATATGATTTTTGAAACATGTGGTCCTAAAAGTTTAAGAGGCAAAAGCTTTGTGGGGCCATGACATTTGTGTGGCTATGAGAGTTTCTCATCAAGGGTAAAGTGAGTAAAATGAAGAGTTTAACGTTGAATTGTTTCTAAATATAGAAATGTGTCATTCTTTTTGGAACGGACTAATGAGGAAAGTGTGTCATTTAAATTGAAACTGAGGGAGTATTACATTGACGTAATAGTTGAATTCAAAGTAATTGTATATCTTCTAAACCTGCAAAGTCGAATATATTAGGAGAGTTATAATAATAGATATTTTATTGTATGAGATAATGATATGGTAAGTTGAGTTCTCTTTATAAACGATGTTCTTGGTGCATATTCCTTTTTTATCGCTTCAACCTAAGTTACTCAGACTCAAGTACAGGTGTTCGATACGGGTACGAATCTAGAGGTCAGATCCTTAATGATTTAAACTTTAAGATTCGGCAATACGGATCCAGATAAGGATACGGGTGCAGAGGAGTCGCCTAAAATAATTCAAATATATAAAATTGGAGTTATAAAAATATGTCAAAATTATGAGACGTTATGTGGAAAACTTACAAAGTATTCCGAGAAGGAGAGAATATTGATCAGGAGGAGAATCCGAGAATGAGATAAAAAGAAAAGCCTGACATAGAAATTTTTATATACTAAGGTATTACATTTTCTTCGATTTCTCCCTAGCTTTTATTTTCATTTCAAAAATCATTATATATGTCCCGAATTTATCTTTCGATTTTGGTCAAGTAACCAAAATCGGTTGACCAGATCCAGTACGAACCCAACACCCACGTCGTGTCGATACTGCTGTTGCACCCAAAGTTAAGAGTCCGAGTAACTTAGGCTTCAACTGCTCTGTAGACAATTTTCTACAAGGAGATATTGATGTATGTTCCTTTTTGTCGTTCCTGACCTATGTTAATATTTTATAACTTCCTACATATTTCTTTTTATATGTAGTTAAGAAAAAGAAAATAGAACCAGCTCTGTGAGGAAGGGTAATCCAATTGCCAGCAGTAGTGCCATGTTTGAGTAGGTAATTCTTGAGAATTTCATCTTCCTCAGGAGACCATTGTCCTCTTTTCACTTTTGTCTTGTCACAACAAGGTGTCCTTCCCATGGTTGTTGCCCTACAAACTTTGTCACTTTTGAGTGTGCAAAGGACTGAGTCTATGACTGTAGCACATATTTATATAAGAAAGAGGCAGGGTAAATTAGGTAAGATGTTGGGATGAGGATGCTGCTGGCAATCTAGAAAGAGTCATAATATCATCATAATAGTACACACACTTAATAGAGTTTTAATTTCTTCATATTATGTAAATTGAGAATAATTTTGCTGGCTGCCTCTTCAATCTTTATATTGCTAAGAGGAAAAAGATGTATTCATTTGGTCAGTAGCTTGAGGTAAAGCTTAGCATGACTTATTCTACCATTTATTTGTATTTTTTCAGCACAAATAGTGTTATTTAGGTTCGTAATTTAGGTATTACCGTATTTGGAAATCAATATGTTCTGCCATTTTAGACAAATATTTCCTTACTATTTTTGGGTACCTATATTTCCTTGTATTTGTATGTGAAAGAAAGAAAAGTTACTTTTGTACTTACTTTGAATTGACAAAATAATTCCAGGTTTTATGATTTTGCAACTACTTTGTTTGGGATTATTCACTAAGAAAAGCTTGTTCCAATAAAAGAGGAAATAACATTCCTTACTTATGGGTGAAAGCCATTTTTCTTTACAAATATTACATCGTTTAATCTATATCACTTGCTTCAACTAATAGTTAGAATTGTTGTCAGCTTTTGGATTATAAAATGTCACTAAAAAACAATTTTTTATCTTATATCCCCTCCACCTTGTACTGTGCTGCGTGTCATTATATTTATACTAACATAGTATCATATAAAGCACGGAAACATGATACAGAAAATGATTTTTCAAAGTAAAACATTCATTACGTAAAACATTTCACGTCATAGAAGATTAAAAAGAGTTTCCGCATAGAAAGAAGAAGAAATGTAACCTCTTGCTTAAATAAGGAAGATAGAACAAGGAAGGATTTAATACACAAAATTTAGTTGATTTGGAATTCCTAAATATTAGAGAATAATTAAATGAAAATTCTTAAATATACGGAAAATAATTAAATAACTATTTTATTTGGTGTGAAATCTACTTTTAAAGGGTAAAGAAAGGCGAACGACATTTCGCAGGTGGGCTTCGTGCTTTTAATATAATATAAATATAAATAGATATACCAAGCATTGCATTCTCCTGATAATTCAAATTAGCTTCTCTTATATTCCCCCCCCCCCCCCC